AAATAAAAAATTAAATTATCAAATAATTCAAAATTTTAAGTCAAATGTTAAATCCCTTGCCATGTAAGCATTACATGACAATATTTTGCCATCCAAACAGCCAAGCGGGGTGTGTCCTCAACGGCAGTTAAGTCAGGCGAGCAATCCAAACGGCAGTTAAGTTAGCTTAAGAAGAAGGGTTTAATTGCTTTAATCCCAGAGTTCAAGGGCTTATATTCATCAATTAAAGTCTAAGGGCTTAATAGCGATTCTGGGGTTAGTTCAGGGGCTTACTTAACTTATGGTTTTGCCTATAAATATCACTATATTCTCCATCTCCCCAAGTCCCAGTCTATTTTCTCTTCTGCTATAAGCCATTCACTTTTCTCTCGCCCCGCTTCCGCTCTGTTAATTCTGTTTATTTCCCTTCAATCTTTCTTTCATTCTCTTAAATTCGTCTACTTCTAATTCTTTTATCAAATTCGATTTTGTGTGTTCGAATTTATCAGATCTGTTTAGATTGATCCAAGACATGAAAGGACGCTTGAGCAAGAAGACAACAAAGGCATCGGCATCGCCGTCGGCAGGCGGAGATCAGCCGTATGCCAAGGAATTAAGCTCGTACAAGGCCGCTTGCAACCTCGATGTAGATTTGCAGACTTTAGATACGACGCTGCAAGCACGGACTAGTTGCGTGATCAGCACGCTCGCGGACGGCTTGGAGGTACGGGCGCTTTCGTTTGATTCGCTCAAGGAGGTGACGGGATGTCTTCTCGAGATGAACCAGGAGGTCGTTAAGGTAATCTTGAAGTGCAAGGAAGATGTGTGGAAGACTCGGCATCTGTTTGAGCTCGTTGAGGAGTATTTCGACAACAGTTTGCAGACTCTGGATTTCTACAACGCCTTGGAGAAGTGCCTGCAGCGCGCTCGCGATAGTCAATTGCTCATCCTCTTCGCACTGCAGCAGTTCGAGGAGGAGACGGAGGTCGGAGGGAGTCGGTATGTTAGGACGCTGGAGAAGCTGAAAATTTTCAAGGAGGCAGGGGATCCGTTTACAGAGGAGCTCTACCGGATGTTTCAATCGGTTTATAAGCAGCAGATGCTGATGTTGGAGAAGCTGCAGCAGCGGAAGAACAAGCTGGACAAGAAGCGCAGGCGCATCAAAGTGTGGAGGAAGGTTTCGAGTATGATTTTCGTGACTGCTTTTGCTGCGGTGGTGATTTGCTCTGTTGTGGCGGCGGCCATGGCTGCTGCTCCACCGGTTACTGCAGCTCTTGCGGCAGCTTCTAGTTCTATTCCTATTGGTACCACGGTGGGGGAATGGGTTGATTCTCTCTGGAAAAATTGTGAAGATGTGTTGAAATGGCAGAAGGAGGTGATTAGTTCAGTGCAGGTAGGAAACTATGTTGCCATCAAGGATCTGGATAACATCCGAGTACAGATTGATCGGCTTGAGATTGACATTGCAGCTCTGCTGCAGAATGCAGATTTTGCGATTGAGGAAGAACCTCTGAAAATTGTGATGGAAGAGATCAAGAAGAAGATGGGGGTGTTTATGAAGAATGCGGAGAATTTGGGGGCACAGGCTGATCTCTGCGGCTGTCACATTATGGAGGCAAGGAATGTTGTCCTGCAGAGGATCATCAAAAACCCCCAACAACTAAAAGATGGGAAGAACATCAATGGATAACTGCCGCTAATCACCGCAAAAGTCACCAGCTTCACACAATGATGGTGATGATGAACAAAGTATGGTCCAGCCACACAACATGTACATATTTCTGGTTTTTTGTTCCAGATCTGCAGAGGAATAACTGAAGACTTTCATTCAGTTTCACCCCTGTTCGTTGTAAGAATTGTAATATTGTTTGGAGATTGAACTCCTTATTTATTCACTGAGTTTTTTCCTACAGAATTGTTTCATATTTTCAAACAACTTGACTAAGCTCTTGTTAGTTATTTCCAAACTATTGAATACAGTAAATTTGTGCAAAACTAAAACCTAGATACATACATTATGTACAAAGTATACTTGTTATAAGGTGCCAAGGAATGAAAGCAGGCTTAAAAATCTACCTAAGATTCAACTGGATTTCTTCCCTTCAGAAAAGCGCAGGCTTCAAGTTTAGGCTTCTAAAGAAAACTATTCATCAGAGTCTGCACAAAAGCTCTTTAAGTTTAGAACCAGTAGTTGCAATTTGATTCGATTGCACATATGGCAGCAGTATAATAAAATTGAAAGTTTTTTTTGCAACTATTTAAGTGTGATAATAGAGAAGCAGATAAGCCATCATAACTCTTCTTAAGATTACAGACACATAGGTATATGCAGATTGACTCAGGGACAGAAACATAGACATAGTTCGATAAAGCAAGAATGTTACAATTGTCTAAGTAGCAAGTTGCAGTGCTGCTTTTGCTTGACATTGAAAAGTTATTGAAACTGGCTGTTCCCAGGAAAGACTGTGCTTAAAGCTGAGCTTTTAGAAAGCTAAGGAGTGGGGTTGGACGGATGTTGAAATATGTTCCGGAAGTCAGATAGGCACAGGCTAAAGATACATTAATTTTAAACCAAATGGATGAGAAAAATGTGAAAAAGGTACCGGTGCTAGTCAAGATGAGTCCTGCAATAAAGTTCACTAGAGACTAGACACTTCACCGTTGAGAGGGGCGCTTCTGTTCCTTGCTGAGGGAAATTGCCTTTTGAATGAAAATTAGAAAGCAACTCATCCTTAAGACAGAATGCATCCGTCAACCAAGTAGCCTCCTTTTCAGGTGTAGGGATGTCAACCAGGCTAATTTATCGGATGTGAATATGAACTTTAGAAGGGTCCACCCCAAATACCATGTCTAAGAATGATGGACACCGATTCTTATACCCAATGGTCACATCATAAACTGCAGAGAAGTCAGAGAAATAGATTGTCAAAAGAGTAAAAAATACTTATAGAATTATGTACTAGAAGAGAATTAAAGTGCTATTTTGATGGCACTCATCAACTGACAAAATCAAGTCATTAAAATGTTTCACAAGACATCAAGTTCACCCCTTAGTCTTTGATTTTATATGTTAGTCCAGTTTACGTATTAGCAACAATATAGATTATCTACGCAGGGTAACAAGACTCATCAGAGGTCCAGCTCTGTCCTACTGAAGCTACCAGAAATAGTTTCTTGAATTAGTATTTAAAGACACTCACTGCCACTACTGTGGAAAGGTGAAATCAATCCACATTATGAAAGTTCAAATCAAGAATTAAGCTTGCATAAGTTATTTGAAATTTTTGTTGGTGTCTAGCCATAATGACATTTGCTTTGGTTGCATACTAAACTTCAAACACAAAGGAGGGAAGATAAGGAAGAGACAGAGCTGGAGGTGCAAATATGTTTATGAGGATCCTACTTACTCATTGTTTTGCCTGTGCCAACAGCTTCCTCTTTGATATCATAGACATTAGGTCATTATGATTTTAGAACAGACAGAGTGGCAACTAGGCCAAAGTTCATTAATGAAATGAAACACAATGGACAGTGGCTGTGACAATCAAGCACTTTATAAAAATAAAAAGATCAAGTGACAATTCATGATGGCATCAAAATCTAAATTGTTGGTTGGTAACACTGCCCTGGCACCCTCTAAACACACACAGAAGGAACACACCTTCCTCTTTCAATGAGGTTGTGGATATAGGGAAACAAGGTCTCTCATATGGTTAAGTCCTTCAGAAAAACAAATTTATTCCAGGGAATAAAATGCAATTTGCTACCACCGGTCACTTAGAGTTTAAACAT